GTTAATGCCTTCAGAGACCTTCCTCCACCTGCCACTGCTCCAACCTGTTGCTAAGGTAACCTGTCCTAGGAATTATCCCTCCCTATAAGGAGTTATAAAAGTTTTGTTAATTAATGTCTCCTGGGCTGCTTCCTGCCTGGATCACTCTATTTGGCCCTGCCCCTGCCCATCTGCTACTCACCTTTTGGCCACCCCACCGGCATTTCCTGGGCCTAGTCATATAGGTAAAAAGGGGAGAGATAAGAGGGAAGAAGGCAGAAGAACTAAGAAAGTCTAGGATGATTAAAGGAGGAAGAACACCCTCACTTCTTGGGATACCAGGAAACCAGCTATGGCCCCCCTTCTTCACAGAAGTCTGTGTTACTCCTTTTTAAATAAACCCTGCTTTATATGTTTGCCTCGGCATGCTTCTCTAATATTACACTTCAACATGTGAGGAAGCAGGACTTGTCACCTATAACTGGCAGTATCAACAGGATGGAAATATAATAAGAAATTGTCTTTCTCCAAAGTCGAGGAGAGAGAGAATGAAAAATGCCAGAAATGATGGCTTAAAAGGCTTATATTAGAAGGATGCCTAATTCACGTTTGTCTTATGGACATTTCCGTAGTCTTTAGTAGAAACATTCAGACCAAGCAGAAGTTTCTAGGTAAATCAACTCCAAGAGCAAAACGCTACCTTCTATTTTTACATATGAGGTCACTATCAGTATTACTAGCATCTGCATCCTGAAAGTCACTTTTCAAAATGACTTAATAGGTTATGATTTTAATCATGTCACAACTAAATTTAGCCCTACAATTATTCAAATTTGAGTACCACTTTCTGTCTTCACAACTACAACTTATACAACTTTCTTAAATGGCAATTTAGATCTACATCTCATAACATGTATAGAATGAAGTTAATGAAGAATAGGTTATAAATTCAGTCTCTTGCTTTCTGCTTTTCTAAGGTCAAAGAAAAGGACTGTCCCAAGCAGTCCTCTCACAAATACAGGGCTTTTACCCATAGCAGATTAGATAGAGAGAGAATATTGACACAGTGCCATTCAATGTTGAGTGGTCCATTGGGATCCTAGGACTCAGAGACAAAGGGTTGTAGAAAAGAACATTTTCTTTTCATTTCACTAAGTGTCAATAATCTGATGGGTCAGAGTCCTGAACCAAAAAGTACAGAGGCAAGATAAAGCTACTACACACAGAAATGAAGAAACTATCATGTGATTACTATTTTTACCGTTTAGTGTTTTGTCTAGTGTGTTGTTCAAAGTTTCCTGTGATAAGCTTTCCATCAGTTCTCCTGAGGGGGATTCCTTGATCTGAGAGATCTCATCAATAGGAAGTTTATCCTCATGCGGTTCTTGTGTTTTTTCACCAGACATTTTTGAGGTCTTGATGGAGTTCAACTATTTCTGTGTGGACCACATAAGTTTTATGGAAGTCATTCCATTTATTTTTATTTAGGGAGGAACCTGTCAGGAATTTCTTTGCCACAGAACACTTTTTGTGATTCTTATTTGTCCTTTGTAGGATACTGATGGACTTTTGATGTGTTAGAAGTCCAATAGAGCTGAGAATTTAAAGGTCATGCTTATAGAAGAGAAAATAGTTTCTAGCTTGGCAGGTGGTAAAATGCAAAATTATAATCATGTGTTTGGATCTCATGATTCACTGCAGTTTACACAGCTACTCCAATTATTTTAACTCTATTGATTGATAGGTTGATAAATAAATGAAGAAATTCACTGAAAAATTATTTATATGTGTCATCTACTCTCTCAGAGGTGAAACAGTCATTTGGCTGACAATTATTTTTCACTTTTTTATCATTTGTTTTAACACATTGAAGATAAAAACTAATCTAGCGTAGTAAGGAAAAGTCAAGTCTAAATGGAACATCTTAATTGCATTTGATTAGGTTTTGGAGCACAGGGGCTCACTAAAATATAAAAATGTTACAATAGAAAATGTCACTTATAGCACTCTGTATAGACATTCTAGAGTGACATAAAAGACACCATAAATGTCATTCTATCATAAGGGAAAAAAATAACAAGGAGGGAAAAGAGAAATTCTTTCAAAGAAATTTCTTCTGCTGGGCACAGTGGTGCATGCTGTAATCTCAGTGACTGGGGAGGGTGAGGCAGGAAGATCACAAGTTTCTTTGCCACAGAACAGACACTTTTTTTGTGATTATTATTTGTTCTTAGTAGGACACTGAGGGATTGTTGATGTGTTAGAAGTCCAATAGAGCTGAGAATTTAAAGGTCATGCTTACGAAAGGAATTTGGTGAGACTGTGAGTCAAGAGGAAGGAGGAGAAGGAGAAGAAGAAAGAAGGAGACAGAGAAGGAGAGAGAAAACAAAGAAAGAAAGTAAGTGCTGAGGGCCATTACCAAGTAGGAATGACGCATCGAAATTTCCTTGCCAAGCATACCTCATGCTGCTTAGAGGACATTTGATGGGACATTGCATGCATGCTTTAATAAGGTGACCTTGCTCAAGGACCAAGGCAGATCCGGGTTTAGAGCTGATCAGGTTTGAGGAAGTAACCGGCTCCTTGAGTTTAAGGCGTTGCCAGTTTAAGATAATGGGTTTTAGGGAAGTTAGAAGTTGAAGATTATTGCTGGGATTAGGGTGTTCCTGCTGCTTGTTCCCGTTGAGTTCTCGTGAGATTAAAAGGGGATTTGGAGAGAGCCTCGTGGAGTAGGTGGTTTGTGCGGGAGACGGCAGAACGCGTTTGCCCCTGGACCTGTGTGGAGGTGGTGTGAGAGCTGGAATAAAGAATTGCTGTTTGAACCTACAAAGCTGTGAGTGTCTCCTGAATCTTGTGCCAAGTCCAGCCTTGGCAAGTAAGAAAAATAAACTTTTTTCATTCTGATTTTTTCTGGTCTCATATAATTTCTGTTTTCATCATATCCGTCTCCTTACAGACCTGAAAATATCACACTTATTTTTCTTTATTTCTTTTGGTTTTTGTTCTCTTTGGTAAATATCCATCCCCCTTTCTCTTTGTGGGCCAATAATCTAACCCCCTCTTCAAGTTCTACATTCTCCATGACACTTTCCTTGATGACTTTGACCCACCCTGATCCCAATCTTCACAATTGTGAGCCAGAATTTCCCAATATACAGAAGATTTAAAATATTTGTTTGTCTGAAGACTGACTGTCAAGTGTTTTTGAACCAAGACCTTGGTTATCTCACAACAAACTAGGTCCTGAGAGGCATTCAAATAACACCGGTGTAATCAAAATACAAGAGGAAGTAGGGAGACAAACTAAAAAGAGGAAGATAAAGAGCATAAAGTTTCTGGCAGTGTACAGAAACTAAACCTGTGGATCAAATGAAAGTAGAGTTTAAAGAGAGAGTAACACACCATATCTAAGCAAACAATTTTTTAAAAAATTAGACATAAAAAAACCAAATCTGGAAAATGTAATTCAAAATCAAAAGAAGAATCAGTCAATAAAAGCAGGCTCACAGACATCATAGACATTGAAATTATTGGACAGAAATTTTTTTAACTGTAACAAATATATCAAAGAGTATTGTAGAAAAGGTTAAAAAATTATGATAGATGGCACATTTTATCAGAAACATGGAAACTATAAAAGGAAGCCTAAAACTACAGAACTGAAAATATAATACCAGAAATAAAGATCCCATCTTAAGAGCTTAACAGTAGACTAGACACAGCAAAGACAACATAGTTAAACTGCTGGACACTAATGATAAGGTCATGTTTGATATAGATCAGAGGAAATATCAATAAGAATGGAGGTTGAGGTCTCATTTGAAACCATAGGGTCCAGAATGAAGAATGACAATTTTAAGTGGCTGAAATAAAAATGAAACAATATCATATTAAAGGTGTCAAACAAACAAAGCAGAGGCAGTTCATCTTCAGCAAATCTGAACTATAATAAATGTTATAAGTTCTTCAAGTAGAAGGGAAGGTGATTGCTTATGAGAGCCCAGATTAGAGCAAGAAAGAAAAAGCTCTGGAAAAGAAATCACCAACAAGTTATAAGAAAACAGTAGACAAAACTACTCTCCATCTTGAACAGAAGTTTAACTCTGTTGTAAAACCATGAGACATGGAATCCCAGGGCATATAAAAGGAGGAATGGCCACCAAAAAGAAAAAAAAAAAGTCAAATAGGAATATATGTGACATAAGGAAAGGAACGATTGCGAATTCAGCAAAAGTTAGTGGAGCAGACTTTACTCTAATAAGTGGCATATGTGTAAGATGGTTTGTGAATCAAAATCTCCTATGGGAATGGCAGCATGGACTCAGAAGAAGCTTCTATGGGCCCTAATTGAGACTGTCTTAAGAACTGAAAAGGCTGAGATTAGTAAGTACATGGATGAAGACATGAAGGATGTGACTCTTCTTTGTGTACAACCAGAGATATTAAAAATTGTGCTTTGTGTGTGTAATATGAATTTTAAGGAATTATGTTGACATATAATAAACCAAAACTTAAAAATATTAGAAAAAATAAATAAACAAGCCACACTGACTCTCTATTTGCAACTCCATCCCCTATCAACTCATCCCAACATAGCAGGCAAAGTGATCCTTTATGATGACTGACTATCTACTTCCACCTATGTTCTCTTATAGGCTCATCTTAATACAGCATCCACAGGGATCCTTTGAAAACTTAAGTCAGAGAGCATTACACACTCCTGTCCCCCATTCAAAACTCCCCAGTGGCTTCTCTTCTCAATTACCCCAAAGTCAAAGACCTTACCAAAGCTTGGAGGCCCTTAACATCTGACCCTGATGACCTCTCTGCAGCTCTCCCCACCCTTGACTCTGGGATACTTGCTGTTTCTCAAACACAACAGGCATTTTCCTGCATTATGGCCTCAATTCCAATTCCAGCTGTTCTCTTTCTTTAGCGATTAGTAATACTTTTTCAAAGTGATCTTTTCTAAAAAAAAAAAAAAAAAATCACCTTTAATCAATTATTTTTCTGTGACTTTATCTGTTGTTTTCCCATTGCACCTTGGCACCCCATATTCCCTTTCCTGCTATTTTTCTGCATAACAGTTAATAGCATCTGACACACTATATATTTTGCTTGTGCATCTTCAATATATATGGCTCCACATGCCACTTTTACTTTGTCATCCAAGGAAACCCTAAAATTACCTCAAGAACCACAACTTGGACAGTATTGTTCTTCTTTTTAAGAACTCACCCATGGAAAATGTGCCTAATGTGGAAAAAAAAAGCCCAACTCATCTACTCACCCACAAAACAAACAAAAACAGTTATTAATATCAAATAAGTCTAGAGCTTCCTTCACGCTTTACAAAGTTTGGGTTGTTCCTCATGTGAAAACATCAGCTGGTCTTCATCCACACTCTAAAAAAAGAATAATTTATAAAATGTTTTATGCATCTATAACATATGTGTAGATCTGTTTGCAATCCATTTTTAAACTTATCCCCTTATATACAGCTATACTCAGGTACACAAAAGGATGCTCATCCAATAATCATTTGTTAGATTTACTAAATATGAAAGAAAAACAGGTAACATATTTACCCAGGGTTTTGTAGTGTCTCCAGTTATTTTTGAAAAGTGTAACAGAACTACAAAAAGAAAATGCAAGTATTATGTTACTCTAATGTTATTCTCACGGCTTGCTTCCAGAATCCTCTCATAGTGACAAGGCAAATGTGAAGTGAGTTGGATTGTTAACATTCTTTCCCAGCCTAAATGAATTAATTCTTGATTGGGGAAACTGTGGCATTTGTGGTCTATTTCCATATGTGGCAATATTTTTCATCATTCATTGTAGTTTGAACTGTGATATTTTCAATCCTACATTCTGGATTTGGTCCTGGGAACAGCTTTTTAGCAGCATTCTCATTTCTATGGGAAAAATTTATTATCATGAATTTCGGAGCAGATTTTAGCAGCTGCATTTCAGTCCCATTGAGAGTCCATGAACCAGCAGCCATTAATCAACCACAGAAATAGATGAATCTTCTTTTTCCTTACTTTATCTCTGAGGAGAAAATCAAGTTTCATAGTACAATCTTATTTGAAGAATCTGTTCTTTGTTAAGCTTCTTTGATTTCAATAAGAGCATCTTAATGAGTGGTTTGACAATGGGAGATGAGAGAAACCATGTCATTTCTAAGGGCATGAAGTATCTGCATTAAGTATGGACTTATCTTTATTTCTTAGCTGTAGACACAGCTGGCTGCCATTTTGTTTGATACTTGGGTTCACAAGACCAGCAGAAAAGTCATATGTTCAGGACATAATGAAAAAATAACTTTAAGAAAGGGTTACTGCTCTTCCTTGACATAAGAAAACTTTTATTTTAAAAACTTTAATTTTTTTAATTAATATTTTTAAAAAACTTTTATTTTTAAAACTTTTATTTTTTAAATTAATATTATGCCTTCTACAAGTAAACTGCTGGCACCCTAAGAATACTCCTTAATGGAATGGGCAGCAAAGATATGATTGGGAGAGCAAAAGCAGGAGATAATGCCAAGTGAAACTAAAGGATTCTTGAGTTCTGTGGCATAATGGTAGGAAATCTCACCATTCTTGGCTGCTGTTATTCGAGAAAACATTTTTCATTTTCTTTTTCGATGTCAGAAAGTGACTCAAATCTTTTGAGATGTGGCCTACTTCCATTAATCGCGTACTTAAGTAATTTGGGAAACAGAATTTACAGAGCATTATGACTCCTTTTCAAAGGAATTTTACCTTCTAGGTGATTCAAAAATTTGAGTATATGGGTTGAATTGAGAAATAAGTAAAATGTCCAATGAATGAATAGTAAATGTTAGCAGATAATTCCTACTCTGCTACTAGCTATATGAATTTAGATAAACTTTTCAGGCCTTTCCTTTAAAGTAATGAGTTTTGGTTTTATTTATTTATTTATTTATTGTTGTTGTTGTTTTTGTTTTTGGTATGATACTGGGGATGATTGAACTAAAGAATATTTTACCAATGAGCTAAGTTATATCCCCAACCCCAGCCCCCTTTTTTTTTTAAGTTTACACATATTTTATTTGTTTAGATTTGATAACAATATATAATAGCATATAAAACCTTTGCAATATTTTAAAGGAAAATTTTAAGATATATTAAAATTTGATATTCAATCTTTTTTAAAAGGCATATTTTAAAGTGAAATTTAAATTTTTTTTAAATTTTGAGATAAGTAAGACTCACTTAGTTGTGTAGGGCCTCACTAATGTGCTAAGGCTAGCATCAAACTGATATCACCAGTTATTGGTAATGAGTTTGCTCCCTCACATGTTGAAGTATATCATTAGAGAAGCACACAGAGGCAAGCATATAAAGCAGGGTTTATTTTAAAAGGGTAACATAGACTTCTCCCAGGAGGGAGAAGGGTGCCATAGCTGGTATTCTGGTATGTCCAGAAGTGAGGGTGTTCTGCCTTTTTTTTTTTTTTTTTAATATATGCTATATATAACAAAAGCTTCCTTTGTTCTTCTGCTCTCTTCCCTTTCTCTCTCTCCTTCCTGCACACCTGACTAGGCAAGGAAATGCTTGGTGGGATGGCCAAAAGGTGGGAAACAGGTGGGCTGGAGGGGCTGGGGAGGAGTGATCTGGGCAGGAAGGGGGCATAAAATCCCTGTAGGGAGGGACAATCCCTGGGTCATGTTACCTTAGCAACAGGTTAGAGCAGAGGCAGGTTATCTTAGGTAAGGTTGGAGAAAGGATGGATAAGGTTGGAGGAAGGGCTCTGAAGGAATTAACATTTTAATTCCTCCATTCTCTGGATCCAACCCTTGCCTATCTGCCTGTCTAATTCTGGCTTCAAACCTTGTAATTCTCCTGCCTCAGCCTCCTAATATCCTGAAATTACAGACATACCCTCAGCTTAAAAAAAAAAAAAAAAAGAGTTTTGCCTATGTTACATCTAAGATCGTGCTGAGTTCTAACACATATAATTTTGAATACATATAGACAGGAAAATTTAATTTATTAGGGGGTACACTTATAATGTATTTTTTTCCTAATTTGAGTCAAGTAACCTCTCAACTATAATCTCAATTCTTTTCCTTGGAAGAAAAATAGAAGAACAATATTGACTTTACAAAATTAGAGGGGTTTTCCTTCCTCTATGTGCTCTTGGATGCTGTTTAAACAATATAACATGCAGTCGACAGTCCAAATCTTAAATAGAAATAGACAACTGAATTATAACATAAAATAACATGTAGTTTGAATTGTATCAGAAAATATGTATTAAGTCACATTGGTCCAATGCCTCACACTGCTCTTTTCTTTCATGGAAAATTCTTGGTAAGGAATACGCTGTAGGAAAAATTGGGTTCTGAGATACCACAAGCAGAACAATGTGTGGAGCTGCTGTGTGTGGCTATCACATCATTCATCCCAGGCGCTCTTCAGACTAGAAGTGATAGCACTGTGGTAGGTCTTATAAGAGATTAGGAGCAACCAATGAGAGTTAAGACCAACTGAAGCTACTAACTGAGATAGTCAGACTTGGCGCCTGAGGATTCCTTTGACCTTTTCCTTGGCAACTCTTCAAACTGGTTCAGAAGCTTATGGAAGCACTTCCCGTTTCAGGAACTCAACAAGTGACTTAAGAGGGAGAGCCATCCTATTGTGTGTTTATTTTCTCTGATCTTTTCCTCATTTTTGTAAAAATTCTTGCCCATTACATCTTTTGGGTCATTTGGCTCAACTCCCTGCCTTACATGACATCTGTGTCTCGTAAAATTTTCCTAGTTGTATACTTTCAGTTTAAACGTGTTCTTGACAGTTTTACTGTTACAAAATGAACTTGTTTGTGCTAGTATTTGCCAATTCACAGATGTCTTATTTATAGCGAATGGGAAGGCATTTTTTTCCCCTTCATTTAGAAAACAGATCATGAGCCTTCACAGTCTTAATAGTCTCTTTATCCTTAAAAGTTGTGAGACTGGTTCTGATCCAAGACTACTCAATATTTGATTAATCAAAATCCAGAACAATGGATTTAAGTGGATATTTGAAAAATATATTCTCATTAACCAGATCTATTTCTTCCTCTCCTCCTTCTTCCCTCCCTCCCTTTCTTTCTTCCTTTTTTTTTTTTTTTTTTTTGGTTTCTTGATTGAACCCAGGGCCTTGGGCATACTAAGCTCTCTCTCTGTCATTGAGCTGCATTCCTGACCTCCTAGATCTATTTCTTTATCTTCTATGAATTTTAATGACTTAGATAGCTAAATGATGTGTGCAGTGCTTCTTGCTCCTACACTAGATGCATTCTGTGTGATTGCTTTTATTGTGAGCTGAATTTCATATAGGATATCAGGCAAGGGGTTTCTTCCTAGTGGGTCAGATCAGTGTTTAAGAACATAAGAAACACATGAACTGATTCAATGGGTCGTGTTTATTTCATACTGTTAGGTACTATTGTTACTGAGGGTACAAGGATGATCAATTTAGACATGATATTTGCCTTCACTAAGCTCAGACAAGAACAAACAGATAATTCTGACACCATATATGAGTTACTAAGATAAGGAAATACCAAAAAAAATATCTAAGCCAGATTATGGGGTCTGAAAAAGCTTCCAAAATATGTGAAATCTATGCTGAGAACTGGACAACAAATAGATGAAGCCCAGTGTTTTGTTTATGCACTGCTGCCTAACAAACAACTTGGTGACACAGAGCATATTTTATTATATCTTATGGTAGTATGGGTTAGAAGTTTGGACAGGGCTTAGCTGGGAGATTCTTCTGCTCCATGTGATTTTCCTAGTGTTTCACATTCCAATTTATAGACATTCAGCTTGACATAAATGCAGCCATCTTGAGTTTTAACTTCTCTGAGTAACCCTGATCAGTTTCCCTCATGTAGTTTCTTGACATTCTATAATAAAATCCTCAGGGTGGTACATGGAGTTTTACAACACAGACCCTTGTGACATTGGTGCCAGGAATGTGCCTGATGTCCTTGATATTAGTTTAAGATGAGTCAGGTGCATTTTGACACACATGAAGCCATTTTTGTCCTGACCACTATATATACCCCTTACTTTTGATAAAAAATTGAGGAGATCCACTAGTCTTCTGCTACCCAGGACCTTGCTTCTGTCTGTTAGTTCCCAATAAATTGCAATATGAGCAATCCTGGATCTGTCTTCCTCTCTCTTTGGTCTCCCAGCACCTTGGGACTGGTTCTCACATACAAGAATTGTTTTTTTCTGGAACTCAAGCCCTGTCAATAGGTAGTCTCTCTCTTTTTCTTTTCCATCATTGCTCAAGGGGTCCAGGCACTTTAGAAGACTAAGATGGAATCTCAAAGACACCTTTTGACCAACACTAGGGTATAACAGTGTCATTCTTTA